AAAGGTCTTAAAAACTGGAAACAGAATTCAGTTCTGATATGTATGAAGCCAAATTACAGCTCAGAGTAGAAAATTAGGACCCGACCTTGCAAAAACAAACAGCTTCCCCTTAATATCGTGGCTCAAAGACATGCAATAAACCCCAGCCCTGAAGCAGTGCCTTCTATATTGGGGCCAGCAGAACTGCACTGATGTTGCTGAATTACTCATGAGAAAAAAATGCTAGGAAAAATGGAAAATAGTCTAGAACAAACAGATTAGATGTGGAGATACCAGACACAGTATTTTCTTCCTTCTTGTATTCTCTATGCCTTACTGCTCCCCTCCCCACCAAGAATCTGCACTAAAAGCAGATTTCCATCTTCTCTCTTTCCAACTAGCAATCTAAGGGGAGGGAAAAAAAAAAAAAAAAAAAAGAGAGAAACATTTACTATCTCTGCACATTCATTATAAAAATTTCCAAGCACAGTAAACCCTGTGGGCATGGAAAAATGTAAGTGCTTCTTCGTCAGGCTTGAGGTTGCTGGAGGATAACCAGTAAAACGTACCTTTCAAACATCAGAGGGAAAGCATGAAAATATTTCAGAAGGAAAAAATCCCACCAAATGATGCAAAATGACTGTATTCAGATGGGGAAAGGAAGACTGGGGACACAGGGCACAGCACTTTTCATGAGTAGACAGAGCTACTTACTTTGCAGAAAAATCTATTTCAAGCTAATCAATTAGGTGCATGTATTACTATTTGATGGAGTGAGTGGCTATGTCTTCAAAGAACCTCAGCAATGCATCTTTTGATTCTGGATGATCATACACATAGCACATGTAGAAGAAAAGCTCCGTACCCTGCAACTTTAAAGGTTTCCTAAATAACCACCTCGGCATCATTCTTCTTTGTGGTACACTGTAAACAACCAGAATTTCTAACAACATCAGGCACACACACAAAATACGTTAATAAGGACGTGGAGTTGGCCTGGAAGGTTACAATACACAGCTCCCACAGCAGAGCTATGTTGTTGAAAAAAACTTTGAGCTCACACCCTCCCTGAATTAACCTTGTTTGAAATCTTGTGACCATTTCTATGGATAATCTTCCATCTTCGTGACCCACAAGGAAGATCAAGTTCCAGGTAAACTCAGCTGGTGCAATGTTGTCTATGTTGTATTTCAAGTGGTCGATGGCAGTTGTGAATTCCTGAAGGAATTACTTATGGTCAGCTTTGTGATGTCCTCCTCAGGCCCTCCATCTACTTTGGTTGCTAATGCCCAACAGTGAGCTAGCAAACAGCGCCTAACATCTGCCTTCGAGAACCCAGAGAGAAGTACTCCCCTGTGTAGTGTCTTGGGAACTTCCTATACCCAAAGGCTGGAACAGTACGAGAATACACTACAAACTACCGATGGAAATTTGGTGCGGTGCCTAAGAAACCTTCCACGAAAACTGACAGGTTAAAGACATTAATGAACTGACACTAGCAGCAAAGTGACAAAATTCCTGAAAAGAGCCAACTGTTTTTCGTACTTCTTTTCACCAAATACCTAAAGGACCCAACGTGTTTTGATTAAGCTCTTGAAATGAGATGAGGCTTTCCAATTACTCTAGGAACTAGGGAAGTTCAATAAGTACTGTGAATTGTCAGCTAGAATTGCCTTCACCAGCAGACCAAGGGTCTTTCTTGTCTTGAGGGCAGCACTATGTAATGCACAAGGGATGAACAATGGTCTAAAGACCTTACAACAGCCATTTGCAACTAAGTAACACAGGTATTGAAATGGATGGGTAAAGACAATCTTATTTGAGACACAAAGCATTGAGATACAGCTCAGAAGAGCTTATGTTAATACTCCTTGGACAAAACTCTTTTCAGGATAATGAGAATAAACAGGTTCAAAATGCTAAAAGTAGCTCCAGGTTTTTTTCCTAACCTGAAGAACTGGAGCTGGAAATCAACCTCTCCGTCCTGATGGGAAACAGACTGTTCCAAGGTAAACACCGTAACTGCAGGTTCCTTTCCTCTTGCCTGATGGATTGACACCTCCTCCCCCCCAAAAAATTATAAAAATCACCGCAGTCATGACAATGACCAGCTACCAGCGTGACTATGCCCTCAAGTTAAATACAATCAGGATACTGTAATATAGGCAAAACCAAAACATTTTTCCCATTCATCACTCCATTAATAGAACATCGTGACATCCAAAGCTAAGTGTTTTGAGAATAACACAGCAGAAGAGTCTTTCCAGATCAGTAAAACTCTTCATTATGAAAAGTAAATCACAGGCAAGGAAATTAGTATTCTCTCACCCACATGATCGCATTATTTCTGGAAAGCACTGAGAGTCAAATCCCTAGGAGAGAAAGACAATTCTAAGAATGTAAATCCATTTAGCAGAAATAAAAATGGATGTTAACTTTGTTTCTTTTGTTAACTTTGTTTCTTTTGTCCAGGTGAAAGGCAATGCAAAGAGCCTTAAAGTGGCAAAGCTCAGGAAACAGCAATCTCAGCAGCTGCACTGGTGAGTAACGGATATATCTTTGCCGTCTAGAAGAAAAAGTGCAGCCTTTTAGCCACAAAGACAGATCTTAGGAAAATTGGAGAAATTAAGAAAAACGTTCCAAGCTGAAGATAACAATAAATTCAAGTAAGAGACTGCCTGCCCTCACTGCAGTGTTAATTCAAGCATTGCCTCAGTCTATGCACACAAACAGTCTTCTGCTTAAATTTGGTAGTAACTTTGAGCTTGCTGGCCCGGCAGCACAGTCCAAACACTGGTGATTCTTGCATTGCCAGTGCAGCAAGGCCTGAGCTAATGCACATTGCTAACCTCGTCACCCCTGCTACCTGACTTCTGTTCAGCAAGAAGAACATAAAAAAGCGACGGGGAAAAAAAGCCTAACCCATGAAAAAAGGGCTGCACTGAGTCAGACTACAGATGATCTACCCAGTCTCCTGCCTCTTAGCCGTGGTCAAGATAACAGTCTTTAAACAGGGCAGACATGGAGTGAGCCGTGCTTCTCCAGAATACTCCCTCAGCTGCCAGCAACTGCAGCTTGGGGTTTTCTTGAGCCAAAGGTGGCGTGTTTGTACTTCATAATTCTATGTGGGATTTTTCCCATCGGTGCAACAAACCAAACTGAGTAAGCCTTAAGTGGAAAGATAACTTGGGGAACTGAAAAGCCACAAGAAGAAATAAAGGTAAAGAACTGAGAGGCAGAGATCAAAACTTGACTGTCCCCAGCAAGCAGAAAAAAAAAAAAAACCAAACCCCTCACGCAGAACTTCGGTCCAAGTGTTACGTTATCGACTGCCCTTTGAGAATCAAGAGTTTCTCTTCAGTTTTTCTTTTTCAGTTCATGTAATCACAAGGTGATAATCCTAGAGGCAGAGCTATTACTCAGAACTTCAAACATATCAACTATGACAAGAATGTGGATTCTGTTACACTGCAAAGAGTCAAAAACGCTGTTTTTTCACCAAAATATTTCAAAAGGAGAATAATTCTTTCACAAACCTAAATATTTAAGGTGATCCTAAGTTAGCTGGCAAGTCATTATGCTTTGGTTGGACTTTAGTACAGTATTTACCATTCTGACAATATGTAAAAGAAAACAAAAATTAGTTTTTACTTCGCACTTTGTCTCCTCTCTGTTTTCCAGGCCTACAGAGTTTTATGAAACGCAGCAGTGACTTCATACAACCATGCTACGCTGAAGCTTCCCAAACTGAAGCTATAAGCACGTAACAAGGCACAGCTCTTTTCCAACTTAAGATGAAGCTTCCCTGATTTCTTCTGAACTTTTCAAAAAACAGACCAAGAAAGGCACCCTTATAAATATTTATTCTTCCACAAACACCAGTGTCACTCTTAATGCTTTCTAGACACCCCCTAACAGCAAAGGGTATAAGAAGAGATCAGGAAACACAAAACCAGTCCCGACTTTAAATTCTAGAAATGCAGGTGCCATGAAGCTCCTACCAAGCTGCTGTGTTTGTTTGAAGCTCTATTCTGTGTGTCACTGTCCTGACTATCAGATCCTTACAGACCTTAAGTGATACTCTGTTCTCTCCAGCTGTAGGAAGGGGAAAGCAGCTCTCCTTTGACCGCTCTCTAAAATTTCTTGACCACAGAATCACAGAATGGTAGGGTTTGGAAGGGACCTCTGTGGGTCATCTAGTCCAACCCTTCTCCCGCAGCAGGGTCACCTACAGTAGGCTGTAGGGAGACTGTGTTAATAGTGTAGCAGGGGGAGGAACAGGGAACAAGTTTACCATCTACTTCTCTTCATCACCACTGATTTCCAAAGCTACAATAATTTGTACTGACAGGATTCCTGTCAAATCAAGACAGTATTAGTTAATGATACTAATTTCCCTTTGGTTCTTCTTGAAAAAGATACCAGCAACAATAAAAACACCACTGCTAGCTTCATCCACAGTAGCAGAACAACTTCAGTAAGTAAATTAATGTTTTTTAAATTATAATTCAAAGAACCAAACTTTTTCCATACACAACCCCCAAATACTGGATTGGCTTGACACCTCCATCAGATGATGATTTTTACTCTTTATCACACTGTAGTGGATTTCAAGATCCTAACACTGACTAATTCTTAATAACTACAGAATAAAACTAAAATTATTATAATGTTGGCCAAAAATATCATTTACAGCACTGCTATCACTATTGGATTTACGGCATCATCACAGTATTGAATAATTAGCAGTACTAATGTAATGCAAACTGATAGAGCACAGTACAAAATCTAGCTCTCTACAGTTTAGTAAAGTAACTGTTCCTTAAATGCTATGATTAGGAGAAGTTCTTACTTTCTGTCTGGCCCCTGCCAAACCTAGCTCACATAGGCAGTCCTGCTGATTTCAGTAGGACTATCTATTGAGTGAGGTGACTCACACAAGAAGGAATCTGCAGATTAGACCCTTCCATCTCCATTTATAAGCATGAAGCACATGAGTCTAGCAGGAATTTAACACTTACGCTTCCACAGTTGTTCTTACAGTCTGTTCCTCACCATCTTCATCTGAGCTGCCACATGTTGCATCAGAGTCCAGATCCTTCTCCAAGTGAGACAGCAGTCCTCCAGCGGAAAGTGCAAAAGCCTGGATTTCACCTGGTGCAACACTAACTCCATTCTCTATGTCTGAGCTTGATCTACTCTCCAAAGTAGTTGCGTTGTTTTCTGGCCAACCTTCAGTGCACTGCAGTGAGCTACTGCTCGAAAATCTGGTTGGCTCATGGAAAACCTTCATTCTTTGTAGCTGATGTTTCACAAAGCATTTCAGCTGCTGATCACAGTGTTTGATAACATGCTTTGCCAGGAGCATTTGTAAACGTTTCCGAGTTCTTTTGGCGCGACTGATTTCCATTTGTTGCTTAGTGACACACTTGAGAAAGCGAGCATACACCTCCCCCGGGGTGCAGCTCAAAATCCCTTCTGCAGGCCCGTGAAGAATTTGGTGTAGTAAATCCCCTTTTACTGTTTCAGTGCAGACTTCCAAAGCCCTACCCAAAAAACCATTCTTCTTGTACCATTTACCATTTAAAAGCTGCATTTCTTCTGCATTACTGGATTCGGTTACATTTGAATCCGAAAGTCTCTGCATTTCTGCTAAATTCGGAGATGTGGTCTCTGAAAACGTTTTCCCTTTGACCTGTTCCTCAGGTTCTGAATGACTAACCTGACCAAATGATGTGTCAGCACCATTATGTAATGAATTTCTCATCTTGGAGCAGTCGGGCTCTCCCGCTTTCGTTTGCTTACCAGTTTTGCCGCTAAATGCCCTTGTACTCATTAACAAGACAGACTGATAGCACTTGGAGGATGGTGGAGAACCAAAATGCTGCATGTTGAAGATATCATTCCTGAGGTTGGGCTCAGCAGTGGGGAACCTCAGGACTGAGCAAGTAATCTGTGCGATGGAGTCCTCTTTTATCTTCTCTTCCACTGCTCTGGAATTTTCCATGCACAAAGCTGTATCAGACTCCATAGCTCTAGAGGACAAAGAAGGTGACAAGTGGATACCATGACCTTTTGTTGCTGCCTCTCGGAGGGCTGGTGTCATTATAGCTACGGGAGGTAGTTTACAGCAAACCTGAAAATAACATGGGCCATGTAAATTTTCTCATTTTCACGACATGGTACAAATGCATCAACTTTGTCTGATATTTCATTCTTTCAACATTTCAACATTATTCAAAGATTCCATAAAAAAGCACATTATTTAAAAAACAGACTATGCTCCCTCCCAAGTCAAACAAACACTCTCTCTCAGAGGAGTAAGTGTTCATAGAATCATAGAATGGTAAGGGTCGGAAGGGACCTTAAAGATCATCTGGTTCCACCTCCCCCGCCATGAGCAGGGACATCTTCCACTAGACCAAATTGCTCAGAGCTCCATCCAACCTGACCTTGAACACTGCCAGGGAGGGGGCAGCCACAGCTTCTGTGGGCAACCCGTGCCAGTGTTTCACCACTCTCATGGTGAAGAATTTCTTCCTCTTATCTAATTAGATCTGCCCTCTTTTAGTTTACAGCCGTTCCCCCTTGTCCTGTCACTGTACACCCTTGTGAAAAGTCCCTCTTCATCCTTCCTGTAGGCCCCCTTCAGGTACTGGAAGGCTGCAATAAGGTCACCCCGGAGCCTTCTCTTCTCCAGGCTGAACAGTCCCAATTCCCTCAGCCTGTCCTCCCAGGAGAGGTACTCCATCCCTCTGATCATCTTCGTAGCCCTCCTCTGGACCCACTCCAACACATCCATGTCCTTCCTATGTTGGAGGCCCCACAGCTGGACATAGTACTCCAGGTGGGCTCATTGCATTTCTGATCCTGTCGGTCTGAGAAGCAAGACTCCCAAAGTTCAAGACCGTCATCTAACTTTCCTCAAACTGAAAAACATGACCACAAGCCATGTGACTGGAAGGATGCATTTTAAAACACGTGTGAGTATATGTATGTGTATATGCACACACACACACACACACATCTACACATTTCCATCTGAGAACTCTGGCTGGATTTTACTTTAATCTGTTCTAGAGGTAAGTTACTTTTTGAGTTGCATTTGTTTTTCGTTCAGGTGTTCGGGTTTTTTTTAAATGAGTCAACACCAACAGTATCACAGAAATGGGAGCTACCCAGCTACCTGTTACAACTTCAGCAAAGCAGAACACCTACCACTTGATAAAACACTCTGAAATAAACTCGGGGCACTATTGGGAGAAATGTATTTAATGTAAATCTACATAAAGCAAGCATTTGATTATTTATTATATATTCTAACAAATACACTTTAGAAACCATCAAGGCTAATGCTTTAAAAACAGAGAACCGTTAAGTTCTAAACGTTTCCTAAGAAACGTTCATGTGTCTTTGTATCCAGTTCTTTACTCATCAGGCACTGTCTGCATAGTACAATATTCTTTTACAACAAATTGAGTAAAGACAAACAGTTTTTCTTTACAAACCCTTTTGCCTGTGGCTTGCTATAGCTTAGACGAAGGGTTCCCAAACTTTTGATTCCAAAGACCAGTGTCAACCTTCATCGCTTCTTGTCAGCAACTACGCTGCCATGTCACACTGTATCTATTCCACAGCCTACAGTGCAGGACTCACTGCCTTGCACTGTACATTCATCTTTTTTAAGGAGATAGTTAAATAAACTCAATTAAAGATTTAATTGAACATGGCCTTCAAAAGTCTGAAAGACAAGCTACAGTCAGTTCTTGATTAAGAAGCGAGAAACAAAACCAGAAACAATGAGAGAGTAGTAACAGCAGTGAGTGTAGCACAGTAATTCCACTGTAAATTCTCTGTTTAACCAGTGTACTAGTCGAGCGGCATTTCCATTGCCCTTCTTTTAATGCCTTCAGTTTCTTTGATCTCCAGAGCAATTGCCTAGCTCAGCAATTTTCAATGCACAGATCTCATAAGCAGTCAATGATTCTGAGACTGCCATGCATGGATCTCAGAGAAAACTCCCTGTTTGAAGTCTTAGCCTGTTTCTAACTACAGGTTTTAGGCTAAAGGTGCAAACATTAAAGGGAGACATGGAAACCTAAGGAGCTCAGAAATACCAGTCTCGATACTTTCTCCTCAACCCTCAAAACATAAAGAAAAACATAGAGCGCCACATGCTCCAATACTGCCTTAACACTCTCCATATGCTTTATTCACCTTTCACTGCTCCATGTATACTTCAGTCATGAGGTTTTCACCTCTGTACATCACCTGCCTAGTATCACAGGGACCAGGGTTGGTCGTCCCAATGCTGATGATACAATTAAAAGTCATTATAACTAAAAATAATTGTAAATGATACTATTAAAATCTCCAGGATTTTAACCTTTATCAATGAGCCAGTATCTTCAGACTACAGAGGAATCGTGCACAAAGTCCTCTCTGGTGGACAGCCTCTCAGTAAGAGCCCCGTTACTGGGCATATGGCAAATAACTATAGTAAGTCAAAGCAATTTAGCATGGCTAAAATGTAAGGGGGAGAGAACTGCAGCCCACTCTTTCTCTGTGGGGTTACTATGAACTCAGGGAGTCCCCATGTCAGATCTGCCCCTGGGGACCTCAAGAAGCGCTCTCAGAAGAACGCTGTCAGCCTGATATCTACATACACTGAGCAATGAGTTAATAACTGTTCCAACTTTATCATCTACCTTCCTTAGCCCAAGTGGTTTAACAGTCATAGATTGCCACTCCTGAAAGCCAGGAAACGTCCACATGCAGCAGAGCTGCTGCTCAAGCAAACAGGAAGTTTGGAGATGTGCATCTCATACGTACACGAGGATGGGGCTATTAAAAAAACTGACTGCACAAAATATTCAGAGTGCTGTGTTTTAACTTGATCATATTCCCTCAAATACTATATACCCTTCTGGTACAGTTTCAGATCTCCTAAATTGCAATGAATACCTTTAGCAAAATATTTTAACATATTTTTTAGACTGGGGGACTTCTTTTCCCCTTTTAGGGGAGAGAAAGAAATCAAAGTACCCTCAAATTGAACCACAAACATTAAACTAAGGAGTACTGACAAACTACTAACTAATTAGGAATTTCCGACAGAAGATGCTTATTTTACAATATAGCTGAAAAAATAAAATGCTTTTTAAGAGAGAAATCACTCAATTAACCCCTTACCCAGCAACTTGCAAAGTTCACACGATGCTTCTGCCCTGAAGACAGTTGTGTGAAACACATCAGGTGTATTCCTCTCATTTCAGTGACATCAAAAAGACTTTACAAAAGCTGGTACTGTCCCAGACTCCAGTGCTTGGCATTTCTCCATGAAGTTCACACACACACACAAAAAGTCATTGGTATATGAACAAAAAAAAGTATAGGCTGCAAAAAAATTAAAACCAAATTTTAGTATAAGTACTTGGCTCAACGAGAACTGTACAATTTGACACAATTTCATTTTGGCAGAGAGCAGCAAAAATAATTTCACTCCACCCTTATTGGAAGTGAGTTTCCAGAGCCAAACCTACTATCTTCTGGACTGCGGGGGAAGCACAGAGGGAGGGAAGACAAGTACTGAAACATGGTATTCAGGAAGAGCCTGTATTTTCATTCTAGGAAAAGCTTTTTTGTCATAGGTAAACCATTTCAAGGATTTTTTTTCCACTGTGTACTACTTGAAGTTTTAAAACCAGAACAGCTGAAATGCTACTAAACCGGCAAACAGTCTGCTTTTCATCTGTTGAATACACACTCCACTTGAAAGACTAAAAAGTACTGTAAAAAGAAAAGCTGACGTAAAATAAGTACCGGGAAAGTGCAGAAACAAGTACCAGACACGCACAGTTCAGCAACTGATGTTTAAAGTGATTTTACACTTATCCTCCCCTAATGCCTTAATTACCCAGGAGGATATAGCCAGGAATCGCAGTTTACCACCTCCCTAGCACTCCCCTGACCTGCACCCTGCTCCCTTCTCTCACCACAACTACAAGTCCTTAATCCTCCAATGATCCTGTTCCCCTACCCCGCCTCTCCTCCCTGCTGCCTCTGCTTTTTTCTTAGTTCTTGCTCAACGTTTCTGCACTATACCCTTCTTTACCAGGCTTACCTCAACAGAATTTGTCTAAATCCTGAAACTAGTGTCTTCATGTTGGTAGTCAGAAACGCAACAAAACCCAACCACAAACCCGCCTGTGCACAGGGTGGCATTCCCTTCCCAGCTTTTGTTTACAGTGCTTTTACTTTTTGATCTTCCCCCTCCTGGCAAAACACTATCACTTTTGTTACACAACACTGCAGACAATGTTTGGGGGGATTTTTGCTTGGGGGGAGGATTGCTTTGTCTTTTAGTGGTTTTTTTTGTTTGTTTTCAATGACAATAAAACTCTATTTGCACGAGGGTTTGTAAGGCTCCTCCGTACTAGCCTTCTCTCCTTGTAAACTGAGTTGTCTTTCATCATCCATCCCAAACACTTGAGAAGTTCTTGTTAATAACGACATTCCTGGAGACCAGGAGAATATTTTTACATTTACTACTTTTTTTTTTGCTTCCATATTCAGGGAGCTAGAAGTAACATTTCAAATCAATACAGCTGTTTCCAGTTTATTCATAGACCAACAATGTTTTGAATAAGCGAACTTCCAATGTTTATTCCTTGTCTAGAAGGCACTTCAAAAGCAAAGCAAAGTCACTGGCAGCAGACAGCACCTGGTGAAACATCCAAAATTAAGCTCAGCAACAATGTTCAGAAATGCTGTATTTCAAACTGACAAGAGCTGCTTTAAGGCCTCTTAGACAAAATCTGCAGAAGAGATAGCAGCTACATGAGCACGCTTGGATTTGCCTACAACACAACTGACGAAACCTGGTTTCCTACAGCTTTGTGTTGTTTGCCTTGTAAGCCCTAGCTCCTCCTGGACAGCCTTCCTGATAATCGCTGGACAAAAATAAAGCAGTGCTCTGGCAGACAGGCATTACGGTGGCACTCACGGCCTGTGCTGTGCTGCCAGGACCAAGAGCCACCGCCAAGCTGAGCGGGTAGGAGTTGACGCTGGCCAGCTTCTCCAAACCTCACCTAGTGGGAGGCATCCACTTGGGTATACATTACCTACCTC